AAATTATATTAGCAACAATATCTTATTTAGAAGATCAACAAACATGTTTGTTTTGTATTACAAATGAAACTTCTTATACAATAATAATTTCAAATATAAGTAAAAGTGCTTTGAGAAGGCATACTTTCACCATTTCTAAAGAGAAAAATACAAAATTAACCCACTTTGATACCATGACACGTTAAGTTCTTAAAGATTAAATTTGTACTTGTTTTGTAATTTGCAAAGGTTCCTATCTAAAGAAACAAAAAATCAATAATTTTGAAAAGGAGATGTTTTGAAATTGTGTGAAATTTTTGTTTATATCTTCAACTTAAATCGAGATAACTAAAAGGAATAAATTTGGGAAAATATATTTTAAAAAATAATATGGTAACACTCGATATTTAAAAAATGATACAAGTTATTCTTTAATGATTTATGTAATTTCCTCTTTCTCCTTCTTATTAATTTCCCTTGCAGGCTCTGATTTGATTTTCTTCTATTGTATTGATACAATGATTAGTAAACAAAAATTGTTAGTCTATGATAATATATATACACGTGTGTATTTTATTTTATTTTTGTTTTTTTTAGCTCCGGATGCAACTTATCATTCTGTTGTCTTTGAATTTAAACGTTTTTTTACTGTGCATTTTCATTTGAAGTTATCATAGAGCCATATATTTTCCTTAAATACTTTGGAATCTCTAATTTTCAAATAACTATTTTTTATTTACAAACTATTTCATACTTTGCAAATGTAAAATTAATCATTACAAATAACCCATGGTTGCCGTTTGAACCCCGTCTCATATAAGCTACCAAATTGTTAATGATTAATCTTGAATATTTATTGAAAATCTGTATATTTATATGAGTTTGATTGTAAAATATATTTTTCATAAAAAATTATACTATTTATTAATTAAAGTATACCATAAATATGACTTTAAATTAAGTATTATAAAGTTTAATAATTATTGATGTGATTTTTTTATTGTTTCTTAAGATGTACATATGTCATTTATGGTTTATGTCAATTTAATTTTTATTTATTTATAATATTAAGTTGTAGAATTAGAATATTGTTACTGTCAAATGTGTGCATTAATTGACACAAAATTAAGGAAAAAATTGCTATTTAGAGTAGTCTTATCCAATTTAATCAAAATTACTTCTCATAAAACATATTTAGATATAGATTAACAAATCATTAGAATTCATTAATTCATAACGTTATTCTGTTTAACTAAATTCTTTTGCCCCAACCGGTACCTAAAAGTGGGAGCATATCTATTAGGTCAAATTCCAACTTGAATAGTTTCTCTTCTCAAGGTATCTTTTTTTACTTTATTTTTTTATGCCTACAACAAAATGCTCTCACGCTACAATTGACAAAGACGCTAGTTTATATTTTTTTCAATTAATTTTAATTAAATTATAATCAAATAAATAATAACTAAATATACAATTTAACACTATATAATATATTAAATAATAAATTAATAAAATAAATTAAGAAAGATAAAAAAATTAATTAAAAATGACCATACTATAAATCTTGGGAAATAAAAAATGAATAATATTAAGTTAAATAGTTAAAATAACAATACAAAATGTGGACCTTTTATAACTCAACATTAGGCTTTTATTTGACCAAACAAGGTTTTTAATAAAATAAAAATATTAAAAATGGAAAAAAAAAAGCTTTAAACTGTCTCTTTATCTTTAATTTTATACTGACTTTGAATTACTTAATTTTTAAAATTAAATTGAGGAAACTCTTACCTAGTCTATCAAATTTTGAGCTGAATTCAGCAGTCTGATTAAATTTAGACCCAAGTTTGGGAGCCATAAGTGCCTCCACATGTACTTGGAACGTTTATCCATCACTAGACTAATTTCAATAGAGATATTAAAATTAAAAATTAATCAAGTTATATAGTATTTGGATTATTAATTTTGGAACTAATTAATCATAAGGGCAGTATTGTATTTGTGGAGTGAAGATGTTCTCCCACTACTAACATATCATAAACATGAGCAACTTATTATTCCCTCCTCCGTTTGAGAAAAGGGAAAAAGTATTCTAAAGCTAAGGTAAAAGCGTAAGCATTATCGGGCAGGTGGGACCCGCAGAAACTAAACAACTGGATGATAATTATATTCTCAACCTTCTAAAGTTAAAGATTTCTTTTCGGGTGGGCCACATAAACGACTTTATTATAAAAAACTTCACTTCATATTTCATTCCGGAAACAGTTTAAATTAATGAAACAAAAAAAATATTCCGCAGCCAATCATGTAGAGCAATAATTTGAGTGGTCTTTTCCTCTCCAGGCCAAAATGGTTAACTTTATGATAAAATTTGTAAATAATTAAAGAAATTGGAAGACTTAATCTATATATTGTTAAGTATTTTGATGGTAAGAGGGGTAAAAGAAATGCGATATAGCGTGAAAGAGAGTTGATAATAAAAGTTGTGTGGTACCATATACTTTATTTAATGATCACAATCGATGATGGAGTGAGACTAATTAGTTGAATACTTATCAACGACACAGTGGGGGGCATAGAGATTAGAGAAGATTAAAGAGGAGGATAACTGTGCGGAAACACGTCCACTATCATCTAAATCTCATGGCTTCTTAAGCATATACGTAAATTTCCATCATTTCCATAACTTTCAACTAGCATCTAGTTGATATCTATGGGTCACTTTGTGTATGTGGGACTAGTTTTGCCTGTGTGCTTGAGAACGCGTGTGAGACACAAGAGAAGCAAAAGGGAATGGACTTGTTAAGGGTCAACGAATTAGCATATTACTTGTTAAGAAACAAGTAAAAGGGTTTGAAATTATTAAATGAGAAGAAAGGACCCAATGATCAAAATTTTAAGTGTATAATAGGCTAGGTTCTATGATGATATAACCTATTGCCATGTTTGACTAACATTTGATGGCGAAAGATTATGAAAGGAGGAGCTTTTTCATATTTATTTATACGAAGCTTTTCTTTTAGGTTCAACAGGGATAGCAAACGCTCACCCACTTCAGGATTCCCTCCCACTATTGTTATCTTTTAGTCCCTTTCTCGTCCCCTAAAAAAAGGAGGCTTCTATAATTATTTAGATTTTCGGGAAAAGCTTTAAACCATCAAATAAGCATTTATGGAAATGCAAAGAATGCTAGTGCTCTAGGCTCTGTAAATGCGGCAATATAGGGAGCCTTTTTTATGTGGGAAGGCGGGGGTGTTGGAACTGCCCTTTTTCATGATTGTGATTCTGATGTGTGAATTTACCTTCCAACTTATTATTCAACTACTTCTTCAAAGCTTTTAACTCATATGCGACTCTGTGATGAGAAAATGCCACGTCTCCAAAACTAATGGTTGTCACGGAATGTTGGTCGTGCAGCACAAGGTTGTGCCTTGTGGAGGTGCTGCACTTAGTAACCAAGGTCAACTTGGATAGATGACACTCCAGTTCATCTTGATAATGAGGGACCCGATGATGATTCTTGGACAATCAAACTTTCGTCTATGCAATATAGCTTTTCTTTACGTGCCTCAAATATTGACCCTTTCTTATAGTTACAACTTCTTTTGGATAATTGTCCCAGGATAACATACAATATTGCAAACTATTTTAAAGACTAGACTCATCAAACTTGTTTTTCTCTTTGGGACTTCTTTTCCACTTAAAATTTAACGGATCAATTGAAATGAAGGAGCAACCAGCTGTTCCAGCGCATGCATAAAAAGTGGATATTAAGTGGGCTAGGACTACTACCATCATATATTGCATATTTCAAGTATTGACCACATATATAAATGCACAGTTCATGTATTTGTGGGGATATTAATGGTTTTTGCTTGAGGTACATTGGTCCAGTGTGTATATTTTGTTAGCCGACAGTACCGCGGACCAATGAAAAGGACTCGAATTTTTCAGCCAAATTTTTAATTCTATCTTTTAAGTGGAGCCCTGGGATTGTTTTACAACACTGTTCCAAATTTGAGAACTACCAAAAACAAAAATAAAAAAAGCAGCTTGCTTTCTTTCCCACACTGTCTGCCTCTCAGTGTCTTTTAAGTTGATTCATCTGCTTGTTTGTTTGTCAATGAGTACGACGTACAAACCTAATCGATTTATTTGATGGATCTACAATTTGCTCAGACGGCTTTAGCATTTTATTGTGCAGAAACTTTGAACCCAATACAAATTCGGTAGGCCATAGGTCCGCACCATGGATTGTTAAGTCTCATTTAGAGCACCGGGGCATGGTGGCCTTTCACTGTAAATGCGGCAGTGGCGGCGGCGGCGCGGGTGTATACTCAACTACAACTCACAGGTCACAGCTACCCCCGCATGTAATTATGCAGTTAAGGCAGAAGTTAGATACTGAAGAGTTATATTTAACAACAGAAGCAGCCAGAATTCAGAGGCGCTGGAAAGTGGTTCCAAGTGTCACAGCTGTCAGTCAGAATTGGAAAAAAGGAAAATATTTTGTAAACAACTCCGCTTGTATGTATAACTGGAAAGAAAAAAAAGAAATAGGTAATATAATGGGAAATTTTTTTAAAAAAGAAATACAACTATTAAATAGACGTTATTATTGTTCGAATATTTATGAATCATAATTGTTCAAGAAATAGGAAAAGTGGGAAACACCAAGCTTTCAAGTGACAGACTTATTTATCTATTATTAAAAACGACAATTAAGAGATGAAAATCACTTTTTTTCCACCACTTCAATTTTCTACAATCATGAAAAGAATTCATCTACTCAATACTTGAAATGTTACACCCAGGTGGTATTTACAACCAAAGACATGCTTCACAAACTCTTACATCAAAATATGTCAGAACAGTTTCCTCGAGCTTCTAGTTAAGCTCCTATTTCTTTATTCAGAAAATAAGGAATATGACAACTTGGTAAGATATAAACCTATATCATCTGCTATCCAGTGTATCCTTGTAATTTGGGGCTAAAAGAATCATTGAAACAACTTGTCTTATCAGCATATCAGATTGCACAAATCATTAATCCTTGCCCGAGAGATGTTGGTAAAAGGAAAGACCCGGTAATTGCCATTCCCAATACAGGTCATTGTCAGCTGAGCGTTGCTCACCATTGTCTGCAGTAATCGCAAATCACCAGCATATGCACGAAGCATTACTTTTTCAGGAATTGACAGCTTCCTTACACTTAATAGGAGATCTAGATTCAGTGCAGTTCTCGTAAAAAAAATTTTGTGATTTTGTATTTTTGTTTAAGCAAAAATACAAATTTTTGCCTAAGTATACGATGCAGTTACTGCACTGATCCGGATCCCTTAATACGGTACCATAATAGAGTGCATACCCGGTGACTTCTAAATTAATTACTATTTAATAATGTGGTACTGATAAAAAATAAATAGCTGGTTAATTCTCTAAACATGGTTAATTGCCATAGCTGATTCTTTGTCAAAACTTAACTAGCTGGTTGCCAAAGCAGGTAAACTTACAGATAAAAAAAAATGAGTCAGCACATCTATGTTAGTGTGGTGGCATACCTTTTTGGTTTAATTCTATTTAACTATTTTACGATATGTGATTACCTACCAGTAATGTGAACAAACAATCGACTTTACTTCATGGCAAAAGAATTGGCAAACTTATCTTGGAATTTCGTTTATAAGAATTCATATTGTCCGAAGTTGTAACGGAGAATTCATCTTCGAGATAGATATTTTTTTCCGAATTTTTAATTTGGGAAATATAAGAAGTAAGCTGTATACCTCACAAGAGGTTTCTATGTCTTTGCAGTGCCAGCTTGTAAAAGGGATACAGTCAACATATGGACACCATGTGCAATAACTGTTGATGTTGATTCCATAAAGAACTGCCACAAGACAACCAACCAATCTGCGAATACAAGAAGCTTATCATCTAAGATTTGACGCATGCCCAAAAGCACGAGTGATAGAAGACAGCTAGCCGTGCAAATTAAATTAAAAAACACGAAAACGTGAAAAAAAAAAACATACAATAGGTTGAAGAGGTTAAGAGAAGCAATCTGGAGAAGTGGTCTGTGCAGCATTTCCTTCAACTTTAACTTGATGTAACTTTTGATACTATAATCAATGAGACCTCCTTTATTTGGAGCTACTTGTTGATGAGGGTTGAGTAAAAAAACAGATCCAATAAGGAATCCAGATATAAAACCTCCAATGCTTGAAAAATTGTCTACATAAGGCAGAAAACCAAGCACAAAATTGCACACAAAGACAGAGACTAATGATGCTATTGCTGAAATCTGCACCCAACCAAGAAAACTGATCAATACTCAAGCAAAACAATGAGAGAGGACAAGTAGACAACGAAGGGGAAGAAGAAGCACCTTATTGGAATGAAATTTCCAGTTCCAAACAAGTTCGGAAAGCAATGTTCCCAGCAATCCAAATAAAGCACCTGAAGAACCAACAGCCGGGGTGTTTTGGAGAAAAAGAGAGGCCACCAAGGCACCCACAAAAGCAGAGAGTGTATAGATTATACCAATCCTTACTGCAAACCAAAGGAAGCGTTCATAAATTCCAACACTGAGGAAGCATTTCAATTTTTTTGGTATCACTTTAATCAAAATAAACAATTGAAAGATAAATGCGAGACCCAAAGAAGAAAAATGAAAAGTTACAAGGTCCAAACTCCTGCTCTAAGTGAACTCCCACATAGATCACACTGCAGAGATTGATGACTAGGTGGAGCAGTCCAGCGTGCAAAAACGGAAATGTGAAAAGACGCCAAGTTTGATGATTTTCTGTCAATAAGCTCCTTCGAAGAGCTCCCATTTCATCTAACCTGCACTAATAACAACACATTAGCCATCATTGCACATCACCCAACATCAAATTATGAAACCCTGTTTATTTCCTTAGGCTGAGAAAACAAACTCAAATAATTTTTCATGAAACAAATTTATCTATCATACATTCACACCAAATAAACAACAACTCATCTCCTTCAAATCACGAATTAAAACTTCCTTGTCTTAACGGTTGTTTAATTCAGATTATTTTAAAAAATTAATCACTTCATTTTACCAATTTTGAGAGAAAGCTTTTAAAAGGTAAGCGACTATTTCTTAAAGCTTAATCTAACCCAAATATGTTATTAGAAGATTTTTCATGCAACGCCAACACTTAAAACTATTCCTCAAATCAGATCCCTCCATATTTCGAACCGTCTTACTGCAAATCTATTGGATCGAGTTTCAAAAAGTTAAAATAACAATAATAGAAAAAATAACTACTACTACTACAGTTACAGTTGGTGAAACCTAAATTAGAGAATCGAATCTAATAAGCAAGGATCAGTTTAATTAAGTCACGGAATAGAAGGAAAAAGGCATGGTTGAGGGAGAGACTGACTTGGACTGAGAAGGACCTAAGAGGGGATTCTCGGGGAGAGGCTGAAACGAGAACCTTCCGAGGGGTTGGAGAACGCAATCGCCGTGAGAATTACTCCAGCAGTCGTTGACGAGCATCGTCGCTATGAAAACACCAATGTGGATTATTACGAACACAGACACCACCCACGTGTCGCCTCGCCGACGCCGTCGAGATTTCATCAACGGAATCCTCTGGTCTTGGGGGTAATCCACTACCGATTTCGCCGGAGAGAGCTTCATGTCTATCAATTCAAAACTTTCCGCCATTGCACAAATTCAAGATTCTTTCTCCTGAGAGAGAGAAAAAAAACAGTGAAGTAGTTAGTTGAGTTTGGCGGGAAATGAAATTTTGGAGAACATATAAAAGACTAATATAATTTTAAGCTGCAAAGTTCACAGTCGGATCCGTGGCGCAATGGTTAGCGCGTCTGACTCCAGATCAGAAGGTTGCGTGTTCGATTCACGTCGGGTTCAAAATCCCGATCCGTAAAGCTACCAACGGATCTCTTTTTTTCTTTTTCTTTTAATTTTTGTATAACTCCTTAGTTTTGGGCCTCTATGCCAAAAATGAAATTAGAACAAACACGGTTTACTAGTTTACATAAGCTATTATTTATATCTATATATTCTATGGTATCAATGCCTTCAAGATCACAATTCTTTCCGAAGTATTTTTCTTATTTAAATAAAATATTAAAAAGTAATATTTGTTCTATAAATTTGTATAAAAATCTATTATAAAATCCCATACATATAGTTTTTAGCAAGAATGTTTAACAATTCAATTTGGATTAATTGTTATATAAAAAAATACTCAATAAAATCATAAAAAATACATATGTTCAGTTTGAAAGACCTTGAACAAAATTTTAAATTTAATCCAATAACTAAAAGTAACTTTGACTGTATAATTTGGTTTTTATTTGTATTGTATAAACACTATATGCATATTGTATAAACGAGGGTGAAATTCATCATTCAATAATGATTGAAACAATTTTTGTACAAAACATCGTAGCTCATTTTAATATGTAACTATTTAACTTATAAAAACGAGTGATATTTTTATAATTTTATTAAGTAAATATTTAATTAAATTATTCATTGAAAGACATATTTTATATGTGTCCGTACATGGAGAGAAAAAGTGAGTGAGTGGTACTTATGTTAAAAATTGTACATATATTGCTATGGATAAAAAAAGCAATTGAAAGTGACAAGTGATAAATATGCATAATCTATGTAGAAACTTCAAAAGTAGGACGACAATCATCGTCATTAAGTTGGGTATATGTATTCATTTACTAAGGTGGGTACATTTGAGTAATGTAGGAAGTTAAAATGCAGATAAAACTTAAAAGTGACGTTGATACTTGAAACTAATTAAGAGTCAGTTTTTATACATTTCAATAAATAAAAACGTGTAATGTAAATTATTTAAATATAAATCTCGATATGTTCAAAGATTTTGTCAAAATTAATTTTATTTAATTTTAAATTAAATAGATACTGAACCTGTCCATTCCATCCATTCATAATCACAATGTAGACTAACAACTGAAGCCATGCCTTCCAAGCAAGCTCAAGCTGGACGGGTTTATTAGCCCATAAATGAAATAATATAACATTCATATGCCAAATCTAATAATTTGATCACCTAAAAATTGTTAAACCGTGTTCATTTAGAGTTCCATTTTCAACCAATTTTATACACTTACAATTATAAGATAAGACTAGCTTCAACTTTCGTTGTTATTAACTCGCTTTTATTGTAAGGTTCACAAGCCGCCTTATTATTATTTGCTGTTAATGTTGGGAATAAACTTTAGTCACACAAGTATAATATGCACCCCTTTCTGTGAACATTTTCACTTCCACTTTCTATTGCCCCTCTTTCTCTGCTCGGTTAGTTAACAAACTTCGATTTCTTTTTTCTCTCCATATGAAAAATTGAAATCCGAGCACCCCTTTTCCGAGCTAGGGTTCATCCTCATATGGGTCTTGGGCTACGTTTAGTTTTTGTGAAGTGCATTTTGAGTTTATAATTTTGTGTATTTGTTTATACTTTTTCCTTATTTAATTTTACTCAATTTAAAATTTTTAGATGATGGGGACAGTGTGATAATCTATGCATGGATGGTTTGCGTGCAATTTATGACGATGCATGTGTTTCTGATAATTGACTTGTGAATATAGGAGATTTGATGGACGCAGCAAATGGATTGGAAGCTTCAGGTGGAACCCTTGAAGAACAAGTCAAGGCCTTTTTCGATTCTGCTCCTCCTTTGCTTAAGAGTAATGAAATTACTCAAATGTTGAATCAATTCATTCAACGGAATTCTTCTCCATCAGGTAAGTTGCCTCCTCCAACGTTCAATTTTGCTTCTTTTTTGTTCGATGCTTCTCTGCAGAATCTCTAATGATGTGTGGTGCATTCTGGTCCTAGCAAATGGGGGAACTAGGAGAGTTGTTTGTGTGACTTCGGGTGGTACGACTGCTCCATTGGAACAACGCTGTGTTCGCTATGTTGACAATTTCAGTTCAGGTCACAGAGGGGCTACATCCACTGAGTATGTTGAACTTGCCTTGTTCTTGTTTAATAGAGCTTTTGTTTTGATTCTTTTGAGAAGAATAGATTGTTGGTTATGTTGTAGGTATTTTCTGAAGGCTGGATATGCTGTTATCTTTCTGTACCGGAGGTGAGTTTCTGGTCTTGCAATATAACTTTGTTTTTGTGTTGTGTTTTACTTGTGGGTTGATTATCAATAAATATTTATGCAGGAGAAGTTTCCAGCCATTTTGTAGATCCCTTCCTGATGATCCCTTACTCGAATGCTTCGAGCCCACCCGTGATTTAAACATTCAAGGTTTTGAGTTTCTGTTTTCTTCTCTTCTCACACCTTAAAAAAGAAGATAAAATTATGATACATTGAAGACTAACCAAAGGGTACCCATATAATTTCCTCATAAAATGTGCGTTTGTTATATTTTTTTTCCTAGTCCACTCCTAAGATGAAGGCTACTCAAAGATATACTTTGGCTATTATGTGACATTGTTAATTAATATGTGTACTTCATTTATTTATTGTGTTTCTATTTTATACAAACAATGGAGTTGTCTTAATTTTGCTGAATTCTGTTCTATATTGCAGTTAGTGAGGCTTGTTCTGAAGCAGTGAAGAGGGCTATCTTGGATCATCATAGTGTACGATCTATTGATTCAATTTTTAGCCTGTTTGAAATATCTTATGAATATTACTCATGGAAAACAGGTTACAACTCTCATAAGCTGTTTTCAACTAATTTCAATAAAATTTTTGATATAGCTTATCCCAATAAATTTCATCATTAAATTTTGAAGCATAAGTCATTGTTTCGAAAATGCTTATTGAATAAGTACTTAAATAAACAGTATATCCAATCACTCCTTTTTTGCACTGCATTTATCTTATATTTTCTGTGATTTCATCTTGTCACATTTAATTAATGGTGCATTAGCTTTAGGTTATTTGTTAGTTATAGCCTCATTGGGCTTTTCATTTTACTGCAGGCAGTGGCAGGTGGTCTCTTGTTGAAACTTCCTTTCAACACCATATTTGAGTATCTTCAGGTTAGCTTTAGTCAATGTTAGTGAATTGTAAGATTTCATTTGATGCAACAAATACTTAAGTCTCCTATATTACGTATGATCTCATTCTGTCTTTACTGACAATCAACCATGGAGGTGAATGAAATTATTGTGTATTCTGATTTTCATGCTTTCTTCTGATTGTAAGATAAGAGAGTCATTTAATGTTTTATTGTAACTCATAGACGTGTTTAATCATTGGATTTGTCACTTCTGATTAATAATGGTTGATTGCCTTCTGTTTTTGCAGATGTTACAAATGATTGCAATGTCAATGAGATGTATTGGCCGGCATGCAATGTTCTATCTTGCTGCTGCAGTGTCTGACTATTATGTTCCTTGGAAGGACATGGTATAAATATGCTGTTAGTTCTTCATTCCTTGGTTTAAACAATTTTGTAATTGGCTAAGGGATAAGAATTTATCATTCCATGAAGAATTTTCCACAACTGCTTGCATCAAATATAAAAATTGTGCAGGAGTGAGACATATTTAGATAATTTTCCCGTAGCTTTATATGTAAACATGGGGAGTGTCACTTCACTAGTCTTGCTCTAGTTCAGTAAAGTAGTAATTTATAAAGCAATAGCTTGTAATGCCCTAAAACTGGAAGCATTTTCTAAAACCATTCTAGATGTCACGTACCAAAAGTGTGTGGAACTTTAAACCCATGGCTTTAGATTGCTAAGTTCAGCAGAAAGATGTCCAGATGGGTGGAATGTGCATTTGTGGAAAAATCTGATTTGCTTAGTCTCTATAATGTTGGAATTATAACTTTTCAATGATAAGATTTACTTAACGTGGCAATGTATTCTGCAGGTAGAGCACAAAATTCAGTCAGCAGGCCTCTTGGATGTGAAACTAGTTCAAGTGCCAAAAATGTTGTCAGTGCTTAGGAAAGACTGGGCTCCTCTGGCTTTCTGCATATCTTTCAAGGTATTTGGAGAAAATATAAGGGTCAAAAACTTCTTCTTTTTTTCGTTTAGAAATCAATTTTGCTAACCATTGCCCTCAATGACCAAGGAATCAAAAATGGGAAGTTTCATGTACTAAGTACAACATTTAGTACGTTGGGAACTTGATAAGCTTTGTGAAACTTCTCATTTTTGGTTCCTTAATCAATGATTAGAAATTTATAGAAAAACAAAAATCTATGTGGACCTAGGCTTAAAATGAATCAAAATTCTTTCATATATTAAAATCAAAGTATGCATTTCTACTTTTTTAAAAGCTCCTTAATTTAACTTCTCCACAAGTTGTGGTACATGAGTTAATAGAAGTTTGATTCATCTTGTATTAATTTTTTTTTTTTTTTCATTTTATAAGTGCTTATTGAGAAGTATCCAAACTGGCTTCTATGCCATTTTAATAAATACTAAATTGCAGTTATTAGTTATTACTAACTATCATAACAAAAAAAGGTCATTGAATGGGAAGTTGAGAGAATTTTTCTATAAAATCATGGGTGAAAATGTGTTTAGCCTAACTCTACGTATGATGGTGCCATACATATAAGCTGGTTAAGGATATGTAGAAATGAAAATGAACTGTTTGAGATCCGGAGTAGCATCCCTTTTGAGTGTGTCAAAAACACCTTTTGATAGTGATCAGGTATTCAAGTTACTGAGGTTATTTTCCTGTTCTCCAACAACAGACATCCAAACCTTGAATGAAATGATCTATTGATAATTTTTTGCTGGATTGACTAAGATTTACTGTCCTACTTTACTGACAGTTAGAGACAGATTCAAACATTCTTCTAAATAAGGCTGATGCAGCACTTGAAAAGTACAAGATGCATGCAGTGGTTGCAAACGAACTCTCAACACGCAAAGAGGAAGTGGTGGTTGTCACAAGTGCTGAGAAGATTACGGTTCAGCGTGATAAGAGTCAGTCTGATAATGATTTAGAGAACCCCCTGATTAAACTTATTTCAGAGAAACACGGCACTTACATTGAGGATTCCAGTACATGAGTCCAGGGAATGACTTTGGCTTGATCTCCTTGGTGCAGTCCCAGGCACAACTCCTCTCGTTACATCAATAATTTATGGTCATGAATAAAAGGGCGAAGAATTAAACATTATGGGTACAAGTTCAAAAAGAAATGTAGCAGAACTGACAGGTCTAACCATACCTCGACAGACTTCGGCTATATCCAAAATTTGTGTTGTACTTCTTGTGATTCTTGTCATTGCCAATTGGGCTCCCTCTATTGTTTTATTAACCGATTATATCAAAGTTAAGATGGGCGCTTTGAAACCTTGGGTCCATTTTTTTGGTTTTAGTGGAATTGGTGGTTTAAGATAAACGATTACCATTTTGGAACAGGAAAAAAATGTTATGTATACTGAATATTTACTCAAGAGGTTTGAGATATATGTAACTTACCATAACTTCATCATTTATTACCAACAGAAAATTGTATTGTAAGGTTAAAACCAAAGAAAACTTTTATTATTGTATAATCATTGAAATGTGATTGCAAAGTAATTATCAAGTTCAAAGAAAATTTCATCAAAGTTGTAATACAAGTTTACTATTCTATCTGGTAGTAAATATTGACTTTAAAAGGACTATATAAGGAAAAAAAAAAAAAGTTGTAGCATAAACAAGAATGTTAAGATCAATGCGTGGTTACAAAAAAATGATAATATAAAATATAATTATAATTTTTAACTTAAAAAAGAGTAGAGAGAGACAAAAAGAATTTGGAAAAAATCATAAATCGTACTATAATCAATCTCCTTTAATAAGGTAAATACTTTGTTGTTACTATAATTATTGGAATGTGTTATCAATGAATACATGTGTAGCCATAGATGAAAATTCTTTTCTATTTGGACTTATATTATTTTAATATTGTAAAAAGTATAAGTGATTATAACGTAATATTATGTGAAATGAAATAAATTTAAGTAAAAAACAAAGGTTCTTAAAATATTATAATAATAATTAATATCGTTATTTACATAAAATAATGATCAACAGTTTTAATAAAAATATAGTTATAGTATTTTTTATTTTTGTCATAAAATATTTTGTAATTATGCATAAAACATTTGAATCCAAATTTTATTTTATTATTGTTTTAACAATTTTGTATTATTTTGATTTTAAATATGAATTAATAATTGAAAAGTGTGATTGCTTTTAATTATTTACAATAATATTATTATTTAATAAAATTTATTGATATTTTTTTTCATTATTTGGGATTTTTTTTACAATTCCTTTGTTAATCTTTTCTTTTTAATTACTCTAATATTATTTTTCTGGTTTCTATTTTTGTCTAAAATTTTTTATTATCTATTCTTAATTTTGTAATATAGATTTTGCTACAATTTCTTGTTTAATTTTTATAATAATATTTTTATTTTTTAGTAATTTTTTATCATGAATCATTAGATTTTTAATGTATTATTAATTTTTTTACTATGCTGATACTGTAAAGCTGTTGTTTCGTATGTTTATTATTTTAATTTTTGAAGTTATAGTATTATCATTTTATATTATTATATATCTTTAAGACTTTTCCGTGATTAACCAAGTAAAATGCGGTAATGTTACTAGTTTGATTTATAAAACAGGTGTTGTTGTTGCCACGAGTAAATCGAAAAGTTGGATGAATTAAGTATTTTAGGTGACATGCATATGCATATGACCTGTTGGAATTGGTAGCTACTCAGAACTGACATAATCTGTGCAAGAATATCAGTTTTAAGTATTTGAAATAATGAGCAGTGTTATTTTAATTTAATATAGCACTAAAATTCCTTTAGAGTATCTTTCTGCAGTAAGAAAGAGCTTCTAAATAAAATTATCTCAGGCTTCTAATTTCAGATTATCATTGTAGGAGAGTTATAACTGAAAAAAAAACTAACTTCTGATTTGAGACTGGAAATAACAAATACACATGTACATATATCTTTTGTATAATAATTAAAGAATAATTAGATTCATGGAAGGAGACACGATGGTATTAAATAAAATATTAAGCTATTGGAAAGTGGAAACCAAGTCCAATGTTCACTACAGTGTCTCATCATCACTATCTGGATCAAGTTCAAGACCTTCATCTGCCAAGAGCCGGCTAATAGTCTTCTTCTTTTCTTCCTCAGCTTTTCTTCGCATCAAATCTCTTTTCTTCAGTACAAGTGTGTGTCTTTTAAGGGTATTAGAGAAATATTCAGCTGAAGCCTTCTTTTCTCTTGCCAAGATCTTCCTTGCTTCGTCAGGATCTATCTGATATTTCATAAAATACTTCCAATTAGATGCAAAGGAAAAAATGGAACATGGCTAAGACAAAAGATGAAATAACCCATTCTTGGTTGAAAAACAACTATATGTGATGTTATCTATGAATCTAGGATAATGTATTCTTGAAAATTCACTCAAACATCCAAGTGACAATAACTTACTCTAACTTCACTTGTATGAAAGAAAATCATGTAGATCATGGTTGGAAGCAAATTTGACAAAACTCTTGTGACCTTTTCTTGACACAATCATTCAAGCCAACAGTAAGTTGGGAACGTTTTCAAGCATACCCCAATACCTTTGAACGGGAAAGTTGACGCACACGAATATTCAACTCGCGCTGTTGCTGCTCAGCCCAAGCAGCAATTGCCATATCACCCCGCTGATCAAAAGCTTTTCGCTTTTTCATAAGCCACTCCATCCACGCTTGAGATGCCTGAAGGAAACAAGAACACTGTGTTAATGAAAAAATAAGAAAAAAGTTATGTATTCGAATTACAGCTGAAGAAAGTACGCATCCATTTTTAAAAGTTTAAAAAGCAGTGCTTGGAGGTACACTTCTTAGGCTGTATCACTGATAAGCAAACCATTCAAAGGATAGAAAATCGCAATTTCACATCCTTCCTATGAGATTAAAAAATGAGGTGGAGGTTTGATTGGTCAGTAGCATTAACTAATATCTTAACGTTAAGTTTCTGATATTCCAACGCTATAACTTGAAAGAATTCGTTCATGCTTGATACCAGTAATCACAGAGCAGATTATGATAAACTTAAAATGCCATATAACAAATTCCAAACTTGTACAGAGTAAAAACCAAAACTGTAAATTTGAATCTTGAATTTCCTCTATAAATGATAAAGAACGGGTACCCAGTCAACCATTGATAATCAACACATAAAAGATTACCTTCATAGGGTTGACCCTGTTATCCATATCATATTGTCTCCGCCTCTCCCCATCTATAAGCAGTTCATAAGCAGCTTGAATCTTGATGAACCTAGCTTCTGCTGTTTCACCTTCCTCAAGGGTTCCTCTACCATCATAGACTTCAGGAGTAAAGTAAAGAGTTATTATGTATTGAGAGGTTATATTCATCTCTGAAAACAATACTAACATCCCCAACTAATTTCTAAAAAGCACATAGTTGGAGAAACACCAACTAAGACAGACACTCACAAGCCAGATCTGCTTCATATGAACATACATGTGGAGAAAAACAAAAAATCTCGCACGTTCTGGCATATTAGCATTCCAAAACAAGATGTAAAAGAAAAAATGTGAACTACCAAGTGGTTGCAATTGCTTAGCTCATCTTGAATGAATATAATAACAAATGCTGCTATATATATTAGTACAGGATTAAATATAGCACCAGGCTACCACTACCAGCAATATGAAATATCCAGTTGACAGATAAAGTTCATATGAACTTCAAGAAAACAAGTAGCTATGATTAAGATACATACCATCTGGATGATAAAATTTGGCCAAACGTCTATAAGCAATCTTTATCTGCTCATCATCAGCATCTCCTTCCAATTCTGTTGTTTTAGCATAGACAATTGAAAAAGTAACTGTCAACACAACTATCCAGAGGAATTTTCCATCTCTATTCTTTTCCTACAAGGAAGGCTAAAATTGCACAAACAGCTTGACGTTGACACATACAAACACATTCATTTCTTCACTTCCTAAGCAATTTCCAATTTCAGCGTTACCCATCACCAAATAGTAAAGCTTAAAACGATGATGGGATGGGATGGATTATACCAGCAATATTCCAAGAAAATTAATTCATTGGTGCAACTTTGATACAAGAAATCTTTTCAGCTGCAAGATCTCTTTTTTACCAAAAAGTCGTGGTTTTTTTTTTTTTTTCTCTTTTATAATTTTTCATGTATCGAGAGTTGTCAGGGAAAAGGAACATATTTGAAGGTAAAAATTACCAAGTGTTTCATATGGGGATTTTTGTTCAGCCCAGTTTGATGCCTTGGCCACAGTTCTCCTCTGATTCACGCGAAACCAGGGATTCGAACCGGAAGAACCGGTCGTAAAATACAGAGAAGGCGATGGCAAACGGGGCTTGCAATTAGGGTTTCGAAACGAAGCCCTAAATCGAAATTGGTGTCTACAACTAATGAAAGAGAACAGCGTTTGAGGTCTACATAGGGTTCTCAGATTGCTCATAGTTTCCCTCTGATTTTTAAACGTCCTTAACTGAAACCGATTCAAATAAGCACTCCCCTGAAGAATAAACAACGACCCAGATGTAAAAATCCTTTCTTTTCGGAAGGGAAGCCGTGAACTATGAGAAGAGGTTCTCTGGGTCCCTCAACGATAACTAACACCCATGAATCTGACAGAATCTTTAAATTTTTGCAATTTTTTCTGTAATTTTTCTCGAAGAAAAAAATCTAATTTTCTTTTCTCATTTATAGATGAATGATAACCGAGAAATTTTTTTCTTATTTTCTTCAACTTTTTGGCCCGGGAAATTTGTGGACAGTTTGGCTTCTTTTTCTGTATCGTGACAGTTACTGATTGGTGTTACCGTTATGCTCTAAATAACTAAGTAAACTATATTATCTTAATTTTTATTTTTTTTAATTCATACAGACCTAGATATAGAGTTTTGTGTTAATTAAATCAACTAATAATTAATGGCATGTAATTTCTATATCTTTCTCTCTTTTGCCAGCATTGATAATTTAAATTTTAAAATATTTGTATGAAATCTACTAGCCATTTGATTGAAAAGGCTTTTCTTCCCTCTCCTTTCAACATTAAACTCAATCAATCAATTTTCAGTAAAACAAGGGACACTAAAAAGATATAAAGTTTTTCATAATCATAATATGGTATTACAGATGATGCACAACTTATGTACAAGCATACTCTCAAAAGCTGTAAATCACGATTTTGCTTCATAGTAGTACACTACACAGCATTTACTTCACATTCATACTCATATGATGATATCCAAAACTTGCGTAACTGTTCAGTAAAGCACATGGTTGATCATCCAGTTGAAGTTGAAGTTGAAGTTGAAGCAGAAGCAGGTTTCTTCCTTTAAGGTGTAAGATCACATGGACGAGCAGCCCAAAGAGAACAAAGAGTACGAAGACGGTGAAAGAATTCCCCAAGAGCCAGTAAGCCCCTAGCAGCTTGGTGAGTTGACAGGATGCGTGACATGTGCAGCAGAGTTTGTTGCCTAAGGTGATCTGCCTGTGGAGAAGACAATAGATTTTACTTGTTAACAATATTATTACAAACAAGCAAAAAAAGATTATAAACTGCAGCTTACGAATCTTCCAAGTTATTTTACCTGATATTAATAAGTTTCTTGGTATAACTTTTTAAAATAAGTTATTTTTAGTTTATCATAAACTTTAAATTTATGATATAGTCATCATATTAAAAAAGTTTATTAAATAAATATTTAATTAAGCTGTATATTCAATGTAACGATGAATTGCAAGTTGGTTATAAACAAAGAATGTAATACTAAATATGGAAGATAAAAAGTAATTTGTGATATTTGTGGAATGGTCTGGTTTGAACTTAAAAATTCCTATTTGAGTTAACTAATTGGTTTCTTAAGTGAGGATATTAGTCTAAACTATCTATAAAAGAATTACAAGAAAAGGCATGTAAATATATCGTAATTTGAGAAAAAAATCCTGATTGTATAAACTGCACAATGTCCCAGGTCAATATTGTAACTGGGAATGAAAACAAATCCCGAAGCCCAAATATATAGTGTTATACCTGGTTTACAAAACCTTCTAATGCCTCAAATTTTTCCGCAGCAACAGCCATCTGAAGTCGAAAGTTTCCTACACCAAATCGATCCACTGCCATGTCATGGACCAGACTCTGCTGGAGTTTATCCAGTCCTAGTGAAAGAGCATCTTCCGCTTGCTGAGATGAGAGCCGGAGATTGTTAATACTAGCAATTTGTTGATCAGTCAAAGGCTCAAGTTGTGGCACGATTATCTGTAAGAAATGATCAAGTGGTAGTTCTATTCAGATTTCTGCTATGATCTTTTAACTATTCACAAAATGTTCCATGACAAGAAATGTATTAAAAAAACTAGGCCAACTCATGTCTAAAATTTAGCTCATAGAATAAGGTTTTTTGAAGCTTTATAAGAAGTATTATGACTTTATTACTAATAGATATTAAAATCCTAGGCCTTACTCACTCTAAAAACTACCAAAAAGAAAAAGAGCTACCCAAACCTCAGAAAAAGTATTTTGACTCTATCCTAGCTGATGTAAGAGTACTTAACAGACTGAACTCATGTTATGATTTTTTTCCCCCTAAAATTCAAAGACATTGCAACTTGAGAAAAAAGGAAATTAATGCAGAACTCTCATTCTTCGCAATCAGTGAAGAGAGTGTAAGCAGTTATGTACATTTAGAAGCTGTGACGGGCGAGACCCTCCAATCCAAAGGAAAATGCGCTCCACTGATGCTTTCCACACACCAGAGATTAAGAAAAGGACATCAGCCTTTGCAGCATCTGCTTTCATTCTGAAAAGATTTGAGTAATGGTTTAAGACATTCTGAACAAGTAGATGGAGTTGTCCTTCAGATGCTTGAGTTTGAAATGCATGTCTAAGTTCTTCATTCCGCCTGTGTTGCTCTTCAACCCAATGTCCATATTCTATTTCAAATGCAACAATCCCTGCTTCACATAACAGAAGGACCCCTTAGAAGAATGTAAAATGCTATAAGCACAGTGCTTCATACACTAAAAAGTACTGAAGTGTCAAATAAAATAACATAAAAACAAACATCGGTAGTTATGGACATTGAGTAAAAATTAATGTGTCATCCGAAGGACTGAGGTCTTCACGAAACAAAAAAAATTTAATGAAGGTGAATAATCAATAAGGGGATACCAAATGAAGGCATGGAAGGGGCGTTATACATTTGTATACTCTTCACCTTCAGTCTGATATGTGGGCATGAAAATAAGACGAATATGTACTTGATAACAAAAGGGAGGATATTGACAATATCTTGCTCTAAGACATAAAATTCAAGAAAGTTCATAATTGCATGAGGGTAGGCTGAGGAAATGGATGGGGGCAAAAGCAATGATGAAGCATGATCAGCTCAAGCCCTTACACAGAAATCTGTTAGGTCTTCCCTTCAACTCTGATTCCGAAAAAGGCTAGCAAGAAATAAAACATCTTCCAATCGAGGTTGAAATTGTAGTTAAGCAAGCATGACATTCAGTAAAATAGAAAAGAAATTTCATTGTTTAATTGAGTTATTTCTATTAAATTCACCTAGACCTATCAGCGTCAAAAGCAATTTGATACAGTTAAATGAACTGTAGAAGCACTCTAGGGGTAATCACATAGACGCGTGATATATTTGGTTACTTAATAAAACAAGAAAAATATGCATTTACATTCCATATAGAAACATAAAAAGGAAAAGAAAACCCATAGTTCTGGTTCTTCGAATGCATGTGACAAGAACAAGTGACATCTAACAATTAATAGAAGAATAACACTTTCTAAGAAAGATTAAAACTGATATTAAGAATCACAAACCTGGGTTTATTGTTTCGGATGATCCCGTGTAACTGGCATCTAATGAACTGCCTATATACAGACCCTGCAAGTTGACATCTTAGCATATCATTTAAAAATAACAGATGAAGGACTATAAGGTGTAGCAAAAGGACTAAGGTGATGATTTTTGAGTTTTGGTTCACCTGCTGCCTTGCTTTCCCAATCTCTAGCTCCAATTGCATGAGCTTCAAACGGCTTGTTTCTAGTTGTTGAACATAAGCCTATGAATAACAAAAGTACAAATCAGATCAGATGACAATTAACAAACACCAGCTACCTTCTTGTAAGTTCATCTATCCTACCTTTTTCCGCAGCCGACTCTTTTTCGCAGCCTCTCGATTCTGAGCTAGGCGTCTTAGCACCTACACATGAACAGCAACTAATATCAGAGACAACTAGACAATAGCTCAAAATCATTCAAGTTTAATATGTATCTTTAAAAGAATTAATGCATTTCAGTTTTTACCAACATTAAAATGTATAAGAGAAACCGTGACTTGTAAAATATTCAGTCACTTCTCTAGTTCTCTTTCTCTCAAATATTTAGCACAGAAGGTTCACTTCTTAATACTAGCAGAATAATTATAATGAAACATTGGTACCTATTCAGAAGAGACAAGAAATCAGTTCAACATACATAAACGAGATATGTATTGATGAAATTACTTCACCTTACTAACACCTTTATTTGTAGTCTCTTGATCTGCTCCAGAAGGCTCTCTTGATTCGTTAGGAATATACTCAGACTGGAGAATTCAAATTCAAAATATTGTCAAAGTCTAATTTCCACATAAAATAAAGTTAACCCACCAAAAAAAAAATCATGCTTTCTCACCTTGCTCTCCATGCTAGTGTTTTCCATTAACATTGGGGAAGCAATTGAACCAAGGCCACCATCAACTTTAAAGCTGTCCCCCCACATGCTAACTTGCTGGAACGGCTCATATATATCCATTAAGGTTTTTTTTTTTTTTAATCTCTTGCAACGTCCAAATGATAAAAGAAGAGTTTTCTGCATTACCAATAATTATTACAAAAAAAACATTAATTTGTTGCCACTTGCCACCAAACAAGAAACTTGCTGGTATGTTAAACTAAATTATTACAAGAAGACCCAAGTCTCTAAGCTGAAAAGAGATAATTAACAGCTGTCTCCTAATTCTGATCTAGTCTGATTCCAATAGCTCAAAAAGTTCAAATAAGGAAAAGGAATACAAAGAGTAACTGTATCAGCTGTTTGCAGCAACGAAAGTCAATATACAGACACCATATATGCTCTTATATGTAAGACTAACTCCAAAGCCTCACTTTGATGGAATGGTGCCAAAATCTAGCAAGTAAATAAAGCTCTACGTATAGCCAGATTCTCACCAGAGTATTTGTCACAGAAACCAAAAAGACCAATACAAACAACCCCATAAAAAGTTAATAATAAAAGAAAAAAGTTCAACTCATAATCAAAACTATCATACTCATTCTGACAAAGGAAATTCAACATCTTACATGAAAAATTTCCACAAACAAACAGAAAGCAGCCAAAGTACTAGTGTTTGACTCACTTGACTCCAATCCTTTACTCAAAACAACAACTTTCAAGTTGCGTGAATTGAAATTGGAACCAAACGAAACATTACAAATACTTCTACTATTACAGATTGAAGAAAACTAACCTATAGCTAGCAGCTAGCTTAATTGACAAAATCAGCGATCTTGGAAGTTGGTTAGTTCATGAAAGACCCCAGGTTGATTCTCAGAAGTGAATATATATAGACATGTGAAAACTCAGTGGCTAAGTTGCTTGAATTAATATCATTATTATTCGCCCGCATGCAAACAAATTATAAAAGCAACGCTGGACCTAAAATAATTTGTGAAATTTAAAAGCTATAGTAAATAAAACTAATCACTAATCACAACTTTTACTTTTTCTTCTTGGCTCAGAAAACTCTATAGTTTGAAGTGTCAACTTGCTTACTTGGTTACGTTCACACTCCTAGAGAAACAGTGAGTGCGACAGCATTTAAAAAATAATAATGATGCATTAAAAAAACGAAAAGGTTACACAGAACAAAGTGCTTTGGCTCACATGTCCTTCTTTCTTTGACACGATGGTGATTCATTCCTGGTCTTGCCGAAACCTATGTGTACTGTTAGTTTTTTTATTATTTTTTAAGATTATGTTAATAAAATTAATATTGATTCATATTTTTTAAAATTATAAATATCTAATATTTATATTCTTCGTCAGAACTTAACTTTCAAGGGTACACTCTGTTAATGAATGTGCTTTTCTTTTATAATTTTTAAATATAAAAAAATAAACCTGAAGCTCTCGGGCTTAGCATCCCATCTTGATAGCACGACCCCTATCGTATGAGTATTGTTGCATGGTACGAAAGATTTTGCGTGAATTTGTTATGAAAAAAATGTGCAATATCAAGAAGAGCTTATTTAAAAGTTTATGATTTTTATAATTTATTTTTAGTTTATTTTAATTTTTTTTATTATAATTTATTAGAATAACTTTTTTTTAATCTGTTCTAGTATCACACTTTTGGATAAATGTAAAAGTAGGAATTGTTATATATATTATGCTTCTTTAGGCAGATCAGACCCAGTTTTAAGGGTAGTTTAGAGGTGCAATCGCCTAGGGCTCAAGCTTAAAAGATGGCTCAAAATAAAAATCGTGTCTTACTTTTACTTTAAAAAAATTTCTGCTCTTACAGTTTGTAGTTGAAAAAAATAAAAAAGACCTTTTAATTTGTCACACCTCACTTGCTATAAACGTAGTCGATTCATTGACTTATGTAGACTCAAAACTTCATTTAATTCCAAAATTTTACTATTTTTAACATTAAAGTTCATGGAAAAATTTAGTTTTCTCCAAAAAATTAAACAGTTATTGAGTTTGTCAAATTTGTAAATTGTTATCTAAATGTTTTAATCATTTATAAAAAAATTTTTAGGGTCCCAGTAACTATATTATCAACTGAAAGAAGTTTTTTAGAGTTAAAATTAATCAAAACCTACCTAAGATCATCAATGTCACAAGAACTATTGCATAGTCTCACAATTTTATAAATCGATAAAGAATTTTTAAAAAACATTAATGTTAATATTATCATTAATGATTTTGCATCTCAAAATGCTCGTAGAACCCATTTTTTATTATCTTTTTTTTTTGTTTTTGTAGTTAATTATAACATAGAAATTGGTTGAATGAAAGAATATTTTTTTTATAATTTTATTAGAAAAAATTATAGCCACTTAACAAAAATATATTATTTTAATAAAATTATTAATATATGCTTTTATTTTGTTTATTACATTTTATAATTTTTTTAAAGAGTCCTAATTTCTTATTTTGCCTAGAGCCTCAAAAGGGTTAAGACCCTGAGCAGGACGATCATACTGATTTTAGTTGCACTTTCGTTGTCTAGAAGTTGCATGCATACATCTGATTAACCAACCAAAGGATATGGATTCATATCAAGGAATAAAATATATGTTCAGTAATATTTTTTTTTCATTCACAAGAAATATAATAGTTCATATTTAAAAATAAATAAACTTCTTACCACCGAGATTCACAAGTGTGAGTAGTATTAATCATAATTCGATGTCATTATTATTTATCCTATAACTTGGAATAGGAAACAATCAATGAACCTTATCTTGTTTGTTACAGAAAAAGAAAAGTTATAGTTAGCTAATTAAGTTGTTTAACGAAAGTGTGTGTGTGTGTATATATATATATATATATATACATGCACCTGACACCTCAACTTTGATAATAATGAAGGTGTAGATAAAATATATTAATAGCTTAGCTAGTTGATCATGCCAATCGATAAACTCGTATATTCGTTCAAAGTTGCCCCTTCCAACCTCATAGGGAAAGGTATGAAGCTTCATAAACGACATCCAAACATGCTTTTATAAAGAAGAAGATAACGATTTTCCAAAAGTAAAGGGTTTTCTTCGTCGTCGTCTTTTTAAATTTGTTCTCTAATTTCTTACTTTCCCTCCTTTTCCATCACCGAAAAAACGTTTACAGTGAGTCCAACTTTAACCAATAATTTCCTTTCGCTTCAACTATGATATCAATTATCAAGTTCGTATTTCATATGCATTTCATGTGGATTTAGATTTTCTACTATGCCCCCTTTTATGTGCTACCAAAAGCCCTGCATGCTTAGATAACCACCGCGAAGAGCAAAAGGTTTGAATTCGTGATCCTTAACGTAGCTTTTAATGCTGACAATCATGCATGTTTTAAAATTTTCAACTCTATCGTATATTCTCACATTATTAAAAATAATAATAATAAAACCAACTGGCAAGAGTTGTTTTTATAAAATTAAATAGTGTGGTTTTAGAAGAAAAAATATTATTATAAAATTAAAATTCATATTACATGCATGGTATTGATCTATTTTGCCTATTGATAGTATTTACACTTATTTATATTTTTTAGAGTAATGTCGACTATGATACTATTGTTCTGACAGAATTTTAAAAATTACAATGATACGTGAAACTATATAATATTTAAGAGTTATATTGAAATAGTTTGAGTTATTTTCTATTTAAATATCAATTTATTGATTATATAATTTATTTATATGTACCATGCTGAAGCGCCCATAAATTTTTGAATAAAAAAAATACTGGTTTTTAACAAATAAAAATTATAAATTATATTCAGATTGTCTTTATCAGTGCTGTCATTGTCTAATAAAAATTAATCGTTAATTGGTATAGACTTTAAAGAAACTTATACTTACAAATAATGCATTATATTAATAATATTTGATGTATTGATAATATATTTTAATACTCTTATCAACAAAGTTATTTGTTGATATAATATCTTGTATTATTAGCATAAAATCAGATTATTCTTACAAATATTTTATTTTGTATTAAAACACTATATTAACAAAAGTTAATACAACATAAAATGGCTAGTAAATAACATTTTTTTAGTTATATAAACAATGTACTGTTTTAAAAAAAATTACAAGTAACTTTCCTAATTTTATACATACCGCAGTACTCTTAAAATAATATGAGATATAATGTAGATAAGTGTAATTTTTCAACTAAGAATATAATATAAATGCAGTTATTATTAATCTTAATAAAGAAGGTAAGTGTAATTATATTCCTTCATATTGTGATGTGTTTGAAATTTTTCTATAAATATTAAAATTTATCAACCTAATAATTCGGTTATATGAAATTAGAAAGTGAAATAATTTAATTTGTCCATATCTACATATAATTGTATAAGAATATTCATTCTTTTTTATGTCTTCATGTGTCCATACGTGTGTGTGTGTGTGTAAAGTTCCCGTGTTTATAAACTTTCTACACAAATCCAAGTGGTCCATAAAATACTGCATGATGTGTAAACAGCTGACACTAGGAAAAGGAAGGATTGCATCAAACACCCTTTAAAGATGTAAAAGATTAAAAAGAAAAAGTAACTTCTTTTCAAGTGGCGAAGCATGATACCTGGTCAATTGCTTACTGGGTTTATGGTGTAGAGTGGACATTATATTGTTTTTAGGGAACAAAAGAGTATATAATTGTTTTTGTGTACATAATAAACAATTCAGCAGTCGATTAAGTAAATGATAATGTTTTGGAAAATTAAAAATCTTTGATTTTATCATCAATAGTTACAATTATTTTAAATTTATTTTCTCTTGATTTTTCAAACAGATCCTAGCTAATTAATGCTAAGCTTTTTTGGTTACAGAAGCACTTTAAGAAGTTCTCCACTATGAGAAGACAATCTAGCTTGTGGATCATGTTCCTTAATTAATTTATTTAGAAACACAATAATTTCTTTGTGATGAAGCTAAAACTTATGATGACTAAAAAAATCATAGCACATATGACAAAGTCCATGCTGTACTACAAAATATTTTAGTACAAACTAAAGGACTTAGAATGAATTTGTAATTTGAATTATTAAAAATTAAAATTACATCTAAATACTGTAAATTATTATTACTATTATATGTATATACACGTTTTGAAAATATATTTTGTATAAAAAGGACATTTAAATATCTTAAAAAATATCTGTGATATTTAATTAATGGAGAAGAAAAAATCAAGCAGATCATTCTGCAGAACTTTTATGGTACTTTATATTATCCATTTTTTCTCTGGACGCGTGGCATATGCTTTTCTCAATATCCGTAGTTACTGAGGTGTTTGGCCATTACTTTTATTAAGAGAACCTTAAAATTTGAAATAACTTATAAAATAAGTAATGCAGCTTCTTGCGACTTGGTAAAAAGACAAGTAGCTTGAACAAATCGGCAAATAGGGCTCCACGTTTTCTCTTTTTCCCTGCCTTTTATGTTCGTTATCAATTTACTTGAATTGTTCTTGCTCATATATCTGCAACACTTTCTATAAATTATTTTTCTCTTTACTATGTATTTTTATTTAATCTTATGTTTTTTTTTTATCTCTCTTAATTGCAGAAATAGTTATAAATTTTCTAAGAATATAATTTTTCATACCGATAAATGCTCCTCAACTGTAACAACATAACTAAAGAAAAAATTTAAATATTGTTAGTGTTATTTATTAATTAAATAAAAATAAATTTGATAATGTATAATAATATTAAATATAAATTATTTATATAAATAAATAAATGTATTTAATTAATAAATAACACCAATAATATTTTTAAAATAGTACATAAATTTTGTTTAAGAACAAATTATATTTGACAATGAAGGCCTATGCCATAACTAAATACGCTAAATCCTTATTGTTGTATATGATTGCACGTTTTAAAATCCCCAAACAACTAAAAATAAGCTTTCTTAACAGAGTTAATAGACTCTTTGGTTGGACAAGAAAAAAAGTTAGCATTTTATTGCAAATAGGATCTTTGTTTTTTCTGAAGTAACATTTTGAAACTTCAATTCATTGTTTTGGAAATGTTTTATCTTTGTGTGTGTGTGATTTTATTATTCCCTTGATTTATCCTTTTGCATTGTGACATTCTATAATTTGCTGTTAAAGGATAAGGAATTTCAACTTGAACTCGGAGTAACTTCATATATTTGTTCTTAACCCAAATTCTCTTGCTTCAACTTGGTTGTTTATTTTTAATCTTCTTGCTTCTATGAACTTACTGCTTACACTTACCTTCTAGATGTTAATTTGATATTGTAAAATTGAATTAGAGATTAAAATTCAAGCATGGCAACATATTTGACAGCACTCTATAAGTAAAGATCCCTGAAACTTTCATTGTACTAATTTATTTGTAAACTTTTTGTGAATTATTAATTATTTAAATTAATATGTGAGTTTTCCTATATACCATATATCCGCATTTCATCACAAATGCTGATGTAAGTTTTTATTTTTGATTCTGTATTTGTTTAGTTGATTAGATATTTTTTTATCTTCTTTTTTGTTATAATTTAGTATATTTAAACTGGCTTTTTAAAATTAAGTTAAATTACACGAATTGTATATTTTATATTATTTTACTATGATTTATCTTCAAAAAAGAAATTCAGTTTATAACCTGAAAACACAATTCGAATTCATTTTTTTTTTTGGTTAAATTTTTAATATCTTAATGTTATAAAGAAATTTTATGAGTACATATTTAATTTATCTTATTTTACATTTGAATTTTTTAAAATTAATTACTAAAGAATTATAAAAGATTAGAGAATTTTTACATACACAAAGACTTGAATTCAAAATCTTTGAGAAATTATTTTTAACATTAAGTTAAACCAAACATGTATAATAATACATATGTGGGGTTGATAGATTCTAAAATTACAGTCAACCAATAAAATCATTCATTAATGCAATATAAAATGGTCTAAGAGTTGAACATGTCAGTTATTTCAGCAAAATGGACATGTTAATTAATGCGTGTTAGGAGTACTTTAATACATAAGAATTCCAGGATTGTTAGAGTCTGAGAAACTGTTTAACTCCAAGTTAGACCACTACAAGATTCAAACCTTTGATCTAATTAACTTAGGACAATTAGCAAAGACAATATAAGACGCAAGTGCGACTAAAATCAAGCCACCTATTGAAATTTATACTCATTGTTTAATAATAATCCATGTTATTTATCAAATTTTATCACACATTATTTTTTCATTAAAATAATATGCTATCTTTTTTGTTTAATTGTAAGTACATTGTAATAAACTTAAATATATTTATTGATTTTTTATTTTCATCAAAATTAAAAAACTTCATTTAATACACGTTATTGTCAGCAACGTTCGTTTTATTTTCCAATTTATTGAGGGACAGATACTGTCTCTTGCATTATTGCAAAAATTACGGGGTAAGAAAATGAGGAGACTTTTATTTTATTTAATTTTTTCCAGAGGACAAAATTGTTAGAATAGAAAAATAAAATGAAAATTTTGGCCGAAGCCGCCTCACGGACTTCCCGCTTCTCCTTCTATGTTCTGTCAACCTGACTTGCGGTTTCAGCTTTGAACCCCAAACGTTAACGCTGCAGTCAACGCTTCAACTTACTCTTCCGATCTGTAACCGTAAGTTCTCCTTCTCCGTTTTCACCGGACGCTATAGGCTATTCATTCATTCATTCATATTCATATATCTGCCATCCTTTGGTTCATCTATAATTGATTTCACTTTGAAAGCGTTGTGGATTTTAGGGAAGACTTTTTTTTCTTTATATTTCCTTATACAGATCGGGAATAAGGTAATCGTGTGTGGTGTCATAGTGAATCGGAACTCTGTGTTTCTTGCTCCACCTTTCACGTTTAACTATGTTAATCTCTGTTACTATATGACAGTAGAAGAATTCCAATGTATATAGCAGTGTTGAATTAATGGTGTTGATGTATCTGTTGCTGTATTTTTTAAATTTTTTTATATCATTAATTTTAATTTATGTCTTTTATGATTTCTCGCAGTTTTACTAGGAATTCGTATGAACTCTAGCTTGCTTTCACCATGGAAAATCAACCAGTAGTGGACACAAAGGAAGCAATTTCTCAAGCTGTTGAGAATCTGCAAGTAGATGATTTGGTTATTGATCAGGGCAAAGAATCAAAGGAGGTAAAACCTCAGATAAATGGTCATGATGGCTCTGAGTTTGAAAATAAACTAGAGGAAATAAATGACATGAACGATATAAGGTCTGAGTCTAATACTAATGAGGGAATACGAGATGTTGTTGTTGGTGAATCTGAATTGGCTCAGAGGAAGGAGGAGAGTAGGGATTTGCAGTCTGGAACTCAACAAGAAGACTTAGAGGGTAAATCTGAGACTGTTGGGGAAGAGGATTCTGGTGATAAGGTGGATGCTAGCGGGGAATTTGAGCCTAGAAGTCAAGAAACAAATCTAGATAGTAATTCTGGACTGAATGACTTGGGTAAAGAGGATGATGACAATAGAGACATTGAATCAGCGCAGGTATATGATAAGACGGATGAAATTCCAACTGAGGACCACAATTTGGAGCCTGTATTTGATGGAACTGAGGTTCCAGGGATGGAAGCTAACCGGAGCATGTCTGGCCGTAGGGCGGATGCTGATCAGGATAGTCCAGGTGTTGTTGAGAAGGCTGTAGCTCTCAAAAATTTTGTTAAGGAGAAAAGTGCAGTGGCAGTCTCCACTATGCTGCGTCGCCTTTCTGGAAAAAGTGATGAAGGTGCTGTGGGTAATTTTGATGATGAAGGTAAGGATGTTTCAGACACCTCAAAGGTTAGTGAAACCAAAATGGGGTCTGAGAAGGCAGTGGAGAAATTTGCCTGGAATCCCTTGAATTACATCAAGAAGTCATCTGATGTTGATGGGGAAATCAAAACTGAGCAGAGAGATTCAATAACTGAAGGTTCACAACCAACCTTAGCCATGAAAGGAAGGATTATATTGTACACAAAACTAGGGTGCCATGAATCTAAGGAGATTAGGCTATTTTTGCGAATGAAAGGGCTTAGATATGTTGAAATCAACATAGATGTATACCCTGGTAGAAAGATGGAGCTGGAGAAGATTTCTGGATCTACTTCAGTTCCAAAGGTTTATTTCAATGAAATACTTATTGGAGGCTTTAGTGAGCTAAAAACCTTAGATGAGTCAGGCAAGCTTGATGAAAAGATTGACTTTCTTATCACTGAAGCACCGTTGTTTGAAGCCCCATCACCACCAATTTCTGGGGAGGATGATGTGTGCAGTAACGGAATGATTGATGAAATGGCAATTATTGTCCGCAAAATGAAAGAATCCATTGCTGTCAAGGACCGATTGTACAAGATGCGCAGGTTCACTAACTGTTTTCTTGGCTCAGAAGCTGTAGATTTCTTATCAGAAGATCAATATTTGGAAAGGCAAGAGGTAAGCTTGGTCTCAAGCCTCAAGCATGCTTTTAATGCCCAAAAGCAACCCATCTATGACTCCTGTCATACGTAATCATTTATTGCATAGAATCTAGTCTTGCTCTATTTTCAATCACTTGCTCAAACAAATCATCTACCAAATATCCCCACTGATTCATTTAATACAATTTCTAGCTTCATAATGTCTTTTTTATCATTCTAATTTTTGTCTGGCATCATAGGCTGTTGAGTTTGCACGAAAGCTTGCTAACAAACTGTTCTTCCGACACGTGCTTGAGTGAGTCCATATACTGCATTTGGTGTTTCCACTTTCCATTGCTTAAATTATGTTTTTAGTTGTTACATATTTGATAATCCTTCATGGTTTTCAATGATTTTTGTTTTGCTTTAGTGATAATCTATTTGAGGATGGAAATCACTTGTATCGGTTTTTGGATGATGATCCAATTGTGGTGTCACAATGTCACAACATTCCTAGAGGCATAATTACAGCGAAGCCCAAGCCTTTGTCTGAAATTGCATCAAGGCTGAGGTTTCTGTCCCGTGCAATGTTTGAAGCCTATGTTTCTGAAGATGGGCGTCATGTTGACTATGCAAGTATGCATGGAAGTGAGGAGTTTGCAAGGTTGCTTTAACATTTTCTGTCTTTTCCCTTGCTTTAGAACTTAGACGTGTCATTTAATCTTGATAATCTACTCAGTTATTTCAAGAATTTTTCACTGTTATTTGTGCACTTATCATTTTAGGTATCTGAGAATAGTAGAAGAGCTCCAAAGAGTGGAAATATGGGATTTGTCTAGAGAAGAAAAACTTGCGTTCTTTATTAATCTTTATAACATGATGGCCATCCATGCAATCTTAGTATTAGGTCATCCAGATGGAGCACTGGAACGAAGGAAATTATTTGGAGAATTAAAATATCTTATTGGTGGGTTCACCTACTCACTTTCAGCTATTCAAAATGGCATATTGAGGGGAAACCAGCGACCGCCATATAACCTTAAGAAGCCATTTGGTGCAAAAGACAAGCGCTCAAGGGTAAGCAATAAATTAAATTTGTTAGGAATACTTGTTAAACGCAATTTAGTTCAAGCAATTTTAAAAAACTTTGAAATATATTATATATATGTAATCATAAGAGACAAAATAAACGCTCACTTTGAATATAATTAGTTTTTAATTATTGGATGTACCTTGAATTTCTTCCCCCCCCCCCCCCCCAAAAAAAAAAAAAAAGCCTTCGCGAGTGCACCCAAGAAATTAATTTGCCAGCATTTCACAAAAGCTTCTGCTGTTTAGTACACATCCTTTCACCATGACATTACTTGAATAGCATACGTTGGTGCTCATATTTCTTTATTTCTTTGTCAGGTGGCACTTCCTTATCCCGAGCCTCTTATTCATTTTGCTTTGGTGTATGGTACCCGATCCGGGCCTGCACTTCGGTGCTACTCTCCTGGAAATATTGACGAAGAGTTATTGGATGCAGCACGTAATTTTTTGAGAAATGGAGGCGTTGTAATTGAGTTGACTGCAAAGGCTGTAAATGCCAGTAAAATCCTTAAATGGTATGTTCTTTCGACGGTGGATTCTGATTGCTGAGCATGATTGGTGTGATTTATGGTAATATTAAGCAGAGAACAACTCAACGAATATTTTCCTATACACTAGCACATATTCCACAGAGAAAGGCAAACCTTTCAAATTCTATACTTAGCTGAATGGTTCAATCAAAACGTATTTGAGCTTTAATTTTGTAAGTTTGACAGGCGGCTAATATTACTTCAACTTATAAATGCATAAGGGATCTTGCAGAAGTGCAAATGAAAAATATATGGTGAAAATCCATTTCCGATGTTGAATAGTTTAATACTATTAGTTTGTGTGTGAAACTTAAATATGAACATGCGTTTACGATTATCAATGAAAAATTTGACAATTTGCACAGCTAAAATTAGTGTTTTCAAATCTGAAAATAGTTATTTCCCTTTGTTCATTCTCAGGTATAGTATAGATTTTGGCAAGAACGAGGTAGAGGTGATCAAGCATGTTTCAAACTACTTAGATCCAGCTGACTCAGAAGTATTATTGGACTTGCTTGCTACGTCTGAGATGAAGGTGACTTATCAGCCTTATGACTGGGGTTTGAACAGCTAGCATGTGCTAATGAAGTTCTGTAAATATGTCCGGTAGATTGATATTGATTTTCTATTACACAAAGTATCTCCAAAGTAACCAATGTCTTATGTTAGCTTTTTTGCCCATTGCACCTGTCTCTGTAGAAGGGTACAGAAGGAAAGGAAGACAAATAGGGCTGAGGAAAATACGTTTCTATTATGTCCTGTTCTATACATGCTGTCTTTCTACAATTACTTTAGTGCTTTTAATTGTTTGATGCAACTTACAATGGTTCATCACGTACTATGCATGAAGAGCTTGAACTTGTAATGCTTTTTTACAGGTGGCTTGGTATAGTATTTTTTTAATGGTTGAACATAAATGGATTTACTTGTATGGCAGTATACGGTTAAGTTCATTATGTTGGACTTCAGAAATGTCTCAAATCTTAACTTGATTTTTCCTTTTATTGCCCGTTTATACAATGTAGGCATGAGTTGTGGTTTACTAAAAGTCATTCAAAAATTAAGAATAGTTCTGATTTGTTTTGCAATGGATAGAGTCTATACGAAACTTTTAAAACAGGCAATCAAACAAGAAGTGAGATAATAGATCAGAGTTCTTTCTCCTTGTGTTCACAATAATAACAAATATATTTCTCCTCTAGTCCTTGACTTTGTAGTGGAAACGTAGACAACTTTTAAGACGGGCAATAATCAAACAAGAACAGTTTTTCTCCTTATCTTTGCAACAATAACATGCATATTTCTCCTTTACTCCTAAAAGTGGAATATAAGAACTTAAGCAACGAATTTATTGCCGTACAGTCATAGGTGAGTGTAAACAGTGCGAAACCATAGCTTCTCGATTTTCCTTCACCCAACGTAGGGAGCAGCTGACAATCGAGTGCCTTAAAGCACAAACGCCGGATAAAAAAATTTTGAAAACGGTGCGGCTCGTTTGCAACGGTCAGTTTTATTCAAATGTTGCTTCTTAGACATTTGGGCAGCAACCACTGCATCGAAGGCATAATAAAATCACAAGTAGCTCACTGCAACAACCTGGCCGCTGTCTAAGGCAACATTCAGCTCTGGCTACCGCATTCGATATGTAAATACAAGTTCATGTTTTAAATTGCGCAGTGTTTTTTACTTTTTGGAATCCAACTATTATGCACTCTATGCTACCTACGGAACCAAAGACCCTCCTCACATGTCTGCCGATGGCCTAATCACAAAAGGGATATTGAAGAAGGGGCTAGAAGCTAGCCTCGTAAGATTTTGAATTCCCTTGAGACTGATAATGAAAGAGCAAATCATGACAAAGTAGTGGGATCCAACCATCAACTAAATTGCTCAATACATGAAATCATTGTAAAAACGCTCCTGTAGGTGGCTAAAAGATGTTCAGCATTGTTTGGGTAGACAGAGTACCAGCTATAACACCAACACACATAATAGTGGTGTCCTTCATGCCCTATTGTTACAACCAAAATTGGGTTTTGCAAAAAGAACAATAAAAACAATAACTTGTGGTAGCTTTAATGGTTAGAGAATCATTTACGTCCAAGCTCTGCAGCTGTCCATTTTTTTATTATTGACAGCAAGCTAGAAGCCAGACAAAGTTAAGTTGCAGGATAAATGGTGTAAAAGCTGTTATACTACACTCCTTCCTGCTATACCAGCTTGAGGATGATACGTTGGACAGATGTCTAGAGGCAGTGGCAGCCCAATTTTGTTCCGTGAGATATCAAATGGGTTTCTTTCTTAGTCATATCGTCTTCTCAAGAATAATACACCAGTTGGATTTATCAAAAAACTGATCAACAATTCTAGCATTGTTTATTCCAGTTGTCAAACTGCAAAATGATATGAAAATTAGTTAGAAATCAGAACTAATGCATCCTGCACATAAGCACATCTAGTCATCTACAACATAGTTCTGCATTATACTCCTTTTCAAATTTGAAACGTTTATTGTAAAGCATAGAGTAGGCGCCCGAGAAATAAAAATTTCATCATAAATTTGATTATTTATAGAGATAAGCAAGACACATGATGTTATGACACTGCCCAAAACAGTCCTGCTTCGTTTTTTTTAAAAGACAAGTGCTTGTATTTTTAAAAATGTCAGGATCGCCATTTGAAGAAAGCTAATACTGAAACAGCAATTTTGAGTTAAAACCTTGAATAGCTTTTACTGAAGCTAATGTCTCCATCTCATCCTATATAATCCATATTTCTAGATTGAGATTTGAAGTATGCTAACATAGCACCATTGACATCCAAGATCAAGCTCACCCAAACATGAAGCCTAATGAGAGAATCTTTAGCGACTTATTATATTGTGAAAAAATGAAAGGAGAAAAAATAATCTAATTATCGGTATGTTACCTTTCAAGTTCGCCTTCACTAAAAACATGATAATATCTATTATACACCACAGCACCCTTTTTGTCATCTTTAGTTGCCAGACCAGCAGCAAGAGCATGGGCAGAAGCACCACTTATTTCAGCACGATGATAAGGTAAATGCCAAGGAACAAAGTATTCCTGTTGATTCTTCATATTTATTTCTTCCTCAAAAACTCTTGATGCTCTTGACTCATTGCAAACTTTCATAAGCTCACCAGAGCCACTCTCCTCACTTTCAGGAATACTTTCTAATGATAAGGATGAGGGGGGCCGAGCACGAGGACTTCCTGGTCCGACCCACTCCTCAACATACTTCTCCGTCAGTGGAGTCCATTTTGTAATCAGCGAACTATCCTCTTGTTCTACAGCCCAAACTGTAATCAGAACAAGACCACCCTTTTTAACAACTCTGACCAATTCTTCTATTGCTTTTCTCCTTCTATTTTCAGTGCTTAAATGATGTAACACAGCTATAGATATTGCTGCATCACCAAAACCAGTTCTGTACGGAAGATTCACAGCATCTGCAACCAAAACTTCATGCCCTCTATCTGAGCATATTTTAATCAAGGAAGGACTTATATCACATCCTATAAAAAAGCAATCATGATTTAAACCTAAGTATTTTCCATTCCCACATCCTGCATCCAGAACAAGTGATCCAGATTGCAATGATGACAAAAAAGCAGCAACCTTTGGCCACTTGGCGAACCGGGTGGAACTGAAATGTGGAGCAATAGCATCATAAACATGATGCACAAACTTCTTTTCAATTTCAGGGGTGGATTGTACACTTATAGATGACGTGGTACGGTTCCCACTAACTGATAAAGAATCTGTGATGCAGGGTTCTGTACTGGGGGCAAGAGTACACAAACTAGAATTCACCTCAGAATCGATTTCTTTCATTGAACAAAATCCTGAATGATGAACAGAATCACTAATGGTAATGGACAAACCAAGGGTTACCCTAGGCTGGTAGAAGAATCTACTTGCTTTTAGAGCAGTATAAAGCATTAACCTACCATAGTGTACCAGATATCACCTGCAAAAGGTTAGAAGCTTATTTATTTATATATAAAATCTATAACCCAATAGTTCTTCATTCATATACAAAAGAAAAAACCCAAAACCAAAATATGCAAATATGTGCACTTGTAATGAAATGACCAAATGAGAAGATAGTGAAAAGGGTTAGGTTAGAATGAACAAAACCCAAAGGAAACTGAGGCTTAAAGGTCTCAACTTTCGAAAGATAAGAATTAGGCGAGGAGAGTTTATAGGCGAATCTATTCAAAGGGACATTAAGGAAAAAAGTGCTTACCAGTTACCAGGTGGGATCGTGATTGAATAGAGAAGAAAAATAATTCAACTCTCGTGGGGAATATATGAGATTGGGACAAACCTTGGTGCTCGTGTTTGTGCTAGCTAAGCCCGACAGCACTCTCAAAAACCCGGTTTGCCCATGACACTTGGGTCGGATCCGGAGTCTTTAAAACTTAAACTCTTGCCTTTTTGCTTAAATTTTAAATTATCAAAAAATCATTTTTTACAAATAAGTTAAATCAAATATTCATTGTTCTTTTTAAGATTACGTACCTTTGTACTAAGTGATAATTGTAGCATATTTTTATTGATAAGGAATATTAAAAACATACTTTTTGATTCATAGCTTGTAGGAAGAAAACAAAAATTTACTCTCATAAAATGCCCTGATATGTGTTTTGCCGTTGGATGAAATGTAATCTAAACAAATAATTAATCATTTATTCTATCTTAGTTCACTAATTTTAGTGTAAGCTAGTCCACTTAATTTCCATTTTGTATGTTATATTAGGAATCTAGTAAAGTGAGACTTATATCAGATCAGGGATTTAAGAGTTAGTTAAATGGTTAAAAGTGGAAGAATGTATGGACAATAAACCAACCAAGAAATAAAGTGGTGATTAGTCCTCAAAACTAGTTTAAGAAGAACATGGATTGAAGCATGAGACAATTGATATTAACGATTACAGTTTTTTTTTTTTACATTATATGGATGAACCTTCGTAAATAATATTAAAATTTTGACATTTTTTAAAAATGAATTAAGAAAAAGTAAACAACAAAACGAAAACTGGTAATTTAAAACGATCATTTGATCTCATCATCTCAAAAACTCTATTTGGGGTACATAATGTGCAATATGATATACTTTTTGTAATCAATCCTAGCTAGCATAACAATCCAATTGAAGCAAAAAGTGCCATTTTGCCAACAAGTTTCTACTTACTGTTAAGTGTTAACTATTGAGTAATTGTCAAACAAAAATTCTTATGTTAAACCTATTATTATTGTTATTATTATTATTATTATTATTATTATTATTATCTTTTCAACCGTAAATATCGCACAACTCAGCCAATCATGAATAATGAAATCACCATATTGCGCTTTCGATAAGAAATTGTCCAGTGTGTAATTTATATTAATAGTTAAAGGAATGAAAAATATATATATAAAGTAAAATCTTATGCTTAAATATCTTTAAAATGTTTTTTAAAATAAATATACAGTGATGTAATTATCTTAAAATTATTTAATAAGATGAGATCAATATGCATGCACAGTAATCTAAAAATAATTTTTTATTATGAGTATGATATAATTTAAAACATGTTTAATATCATTTCACGTTTAATATTATATATAGAATATTTTTTTATATTTTTAATAGAGTTAACAGACCTAAAAATAAAACAAACTAAGTGATTATTATAGAGAATTTAATCTCATATGTATCCTCTCTAAACAAGTGAACTGCAAAAAAAAAAAAAAACAAAAATATTATTTAAATTTTGACTGTGTAAATCCTCACAATGAAAAAATTGGTTAACCAATCACCTGTTAGTTACTCTAAAAACATTAATAATTTCATAAAAAATTTACAATTACATTTAATTTTTTCAGTTAAAGAAAGTAATTTAATTGAAATTTTTTATAATCTTTTTTTTTTTTTATAAGCAAAACAAATCTTATTAAAAAGAGTTCAAGGGGAACTCAAAACCCATATACACAAAAAATTACTTACTCAGAAATAAAAAGCAAAAATATACTTATGCAAAATTAAGACAGATGCAATTTCGTGGGTTCAAATACCAATCAGCTAACATAATAGCTTCTCCCTTACTAACAAGTGAAAACCATTTCCAGGATCTCAGAATAATAGAATCTAAGACTTCCCTCTCATCCAAAACACCATTGGAAAATATAATTTTATTTCTATGCAACCACAAAGACCACACTGTACTTACCTAGATAATTAATAAGCATATTCCTTCTCTTTTACTACAGCCAACACCAACCCAAGAAAGCAAGTGAGTCGATAAATCTGAAGGCAAAACCAGTGAGAATCTAAGCCAACGTGCAGTAAAGTACCAAATTTGAGATGAAACTGAGCACGTTAAAAATAAATGAGTTGGAAGTACCTCCAAACCATGACAGAAACAACAAGTTATATCATCAATTTGAACACCACGATCAATCAGTAAACCTTTACAAGGAAGTGCATTCAACAACAATTGCCAAGAAAAAACCAGACACTTAAGAGGGACATTCCCTCTCCATAGCCTTTGCAATGCATCTGCCGTACACTGATCTACACTATTAGGACCACCAAAAAGTTCAAATAGCCATGAATACGCAGATTGCACTGAATAACAACCTAAAGAATCTGCCCTCCATACCCATTTATCTTCTTGTAGTAAATTAATAGAAACTTCATCCACAAGCTCCAACAAAAGATTAAAGCTTGAGATCTCATGTTGAAAGAGTCCTCTTCGCCAACTAACATTCCAAACCCATCTAGTGCCATCATGAAAACCATTCTCCAATACACGTGATTCAACATTTCTCGCCACTGCAAATAATCGCGGAAATGCTTCACACAATCGCACCCCTCCTACCCACTTATCTCTCCAAAAAAGAGTGTGTAAATCTGCACCCACACTTCTATCAAACTTCTCATCCAGCCATGAATTCCCTTGATGAATAACCTCCAGCAAATCACGCCACCACAAAGAACATCTGTTGTGAACTGATGAACGTTGAAGAGAAGAAGCTAATCTTCCATATCTAGATTCCAACACTCGCACCCACAATGAACTAGAACAGTTAACACCTCGCCACAACCATTTACCAAGAAGCGCCCAATTAAACCACTGCACATTCCTAATGCCCAAGCCACCATTCTTCCGCAGTCTACATACAGTTTTCCATTTCACTCAGGGGATTTTAGATCCATCCTTAACACCCTTCCATAAAAAATTCCGTTGGATAGTGACAATTTCCTTTATTACCAACTTCGACACCTTAAAAAAGGATAACGAGTGCAATGGCATAGAATTAATAACGGCATTAATCAAAGTCACCCTACCTCCAATCGATAAATACCTTTGCTTCCATGACGCTAACCGCTTTTTAAGAGCCTATAACACACCCTTCCATGCACTAGGCTTTCTCGGGTTAACACCTAACTGTAATCCGAGATACTTTAATGGAAAACTATCAATCTTACAATGTAGGAACTCCGCAGCCAAGTTTTCAAAGTCATCACCAGTGTTAATCCCCAATACAAAAGATTTATGGAAGTTAATTTTCATACCTGACATTAATTCAAAGCTACGCAATACTGCTTTCAAAGTCCACAAATTCTGCACCGAAGCTTCTCCCATAATTAATGTGTCATCTGCAAACTGCAGCAAAGAAATATCTGGTCCCCCTTCCCCAATCGTCACACCAGAGAACAACCCACAAGTCACTGCCTTCCACATAAGAACTCCTAACCCTTCCGCTGCCACAAGAAAAAGAAAAGGGGCAAGAGGATCCCCCTGTTTTAGGCCCCGCTCAATATGAACCTCCAATGTAGGACAACCATTAATCAAAGCTGATAGGCTTCCCCCACACACACAAGCTTCCATCCAACTGACCCATTTGTCTGAAAATCCAAAGCTACGTAACATAAACAAAAGATATCCCCACTCTATCGAATCATACGCCTTCTCATAATTAAGCTTTAACACAAAACACCTCTTATTATACCTCCGCACATAATCAACTGCTTCATTAGCCACAAGTACACTATCTAACATGTTCCTTCCCGGGATAAAGGCTGATTGTTCTTCTGAAATTATTGATCCAAAACTCCTTTCAACCTATTTGACAAAAGCTTGGAAACAATCTTATAAAGACAACCTAATAATGAGATAGGCCAAAAATCAGATATCTGTTGTGGGCAAGACACTTTTGGCACAAGTGCAACAAAATAAGATAATAAAGACCTAGGTAGCTTCCCATTTCTACAAAATTCAGTAAGCATACCCATCACTTCTTCCTTGATCACTCCCCAAAACCTCTTAAGGAACACAAAATTGAAACTATCAGGCCCCGGACTTTTATCACCCTCACACTCCAAAATCATCTTTCCCACTTCCTCCTCTGAAAAAGCATTAACAAGCTCCTCATTCTGTAGAACAGAGACTCTTGGTAAATTATTAATATCAATAGTAGGTCGAAGCCAACTTCTACTACTAAAATGAGCCGCAAAATAGGACACCACACCTGTTTTAATCTTATTAACCTCTTCGACACATCTCTCTCTAATTTGGAGCGCATATATATTATTTCGTCGCCGCCTCCCATTAACACATAAATGAAAGAACTTTGTATTTAAATCACCCTCTTTCCCCCATCTCACCCGAGCTTTTTGGGCTATGAGACTCTCTCTATTCTTCCTAGCCTTCCAAATATCACCCACCAACATTTGTTGACGCTTCTTCTCCATATCGGAAAGTTCTTTCACAGAATTTTTATCATCAATCAAGCTCAACTCAGTTGTCAAATCAGAGATCACCTTATCAACATTTCCAAATACCTCAATATTCCATTTTTTTAATGCAATCTTAACATTCCTTAACCTCTGGCTAACTCTCTGGGCAGCCCATGGAAGGGTAATATCTCTTTTCCACGCTTCCTCCACCACCTCCACAACTTCTTTATGAGTCAGCCAACAATTATTAAATCGAAACAGCTTCGGACCTCAGTTAACCACTTTGTGCTTAAGAATAATGGGACAATGATCAGACACATCTCTGCTCAGAACCTGAATAAAACCATCTCCCCAATAATCAAGCCAGGAACTAGAAACAAGGACTCTATCCAGCCTGCTCATCATAGAAGCATCCCCTTTTATCCATGTAAATTTTTTACCCACAAGTAGAAGATCCACAAGTTCCATTTCCTGAATGAAAGAATTGAAGCCCTCCATTTCAGAGATACCATAGTCTGCCTGACAACCCTTCCTATCTGTCACTTGTCTCACAGCA